GTGTGCCTTGGCAGTCTAAACTCCCTCTAGAGGTCATTTAGTCTTTACAGACCATTTACATGCATACAAACTTATATAACACACTACAGTAAAGAGAAAACCACAAAAAGGATAATCGGACCCTTTTAATAATCCCGCTTTTTGTTCTCAGTTAATCGTTAAAGAAGTTCTGTTGCATACGTTTTGACCTAAGTTTGGACTCTTCGTTGGTAGACATGTTTAACGCCAATATCTTTTAAGTGCAATCAATCACTTATGAAGCTCTTATTCAGATAAAGCATGGAGGTTTGTTGATCATTATTTCCCTGTTATATCGGACATCTTTTGTTTAATTCCTGGATATTAGATAAACTGTTTGATACCCGTTGTCATGGTTTGTATTTCAGTGTGTTATGGTCTGGGTATGGACAACCTCGGTGTCATGGACAACCACGGCGTCACCATGGTAACATCTACTAATGTGGAGCAGTTCAACAAGTGCAAGAAGATATTTGGCAGTCTGGCTTTCCTCCCTCAGAGCTTTGCAAGGTAAGAGACACAGAATAAAATACAAGCCCATGGATTTAGCTCACAGAGATGCAAAATTAGACAAAATATAGTTATAAGCTTCAGTAACATCAAATAGCAGACTTTATACTGTTGCAAAGCCTTATCGCTTCTGTTCAGCCCTTTGACTATTTGAGTTTGTGGAAGGTTCTTTGTGCAAGTCAAGAGGAAAGTCGCCACCCTAGCCAAACCCTTCAGATGAATCTACTCAAATGTACTTCAAACCCAGATATGAATGTGGTTTATTTCTACAGTACTTTATGCCAACAAAGAGGTCTTTTAACATCATGAAGTCTTATTCAAAGTCAATAAGAGACTTTCTTTATCAGACAGTCTATACAATGATAATGTATAATGTGAAGCTGAGGTGCATAATCTTAATTATTATCATGTGTCTGCCAACAGTGCACAGTAAAAGTAACAGTTGTAATCACATGCCTGAGATTGCAGATCAGTGATGTAATATTTCACAGGACGGTTTCCTTGAAACAATCAAATGTTATATTCCTTTTTGTTGTGCTGTTAAATTGTTATTTAACCTTCATGCGGTCATTGTTCAGGGACTCTGCGAGCAACACATCAGGTCTGTCCCTCGAGCAGCTCAGCGCCTTCAAGTCTCTGGAGGAGATTACAGGTACTGAACAGTGAGGAGATGTTTGTTGCATCCTTTTTTAAGGTTATACCAAGAAAAGGAACATCAGGTTATGCAATATAAAAAACGGTGTCATTCATAACTGTTGTGAATGGGTTTTTCCTGCAAATGCATTCAGATTTTCCAAATAGCACCACATGCAAGTCTGATATGTATTCAGAGCATACCGTGTCTCCTCTGTTTGAGTGTGTTTTATATATTGTCGGTTTGTGCTTGGCAGGTTATTTGTACGTTGATGCCTGGCCAGAAGAGTGGACTGACCTCCATGTGTTCGAGAACCTGAAGGTGATCAGAGGCAGGATGCTCTACAAGTAAGACTTTTACACTTCCTCAAATTGTATTTTATTATAGGTCTTCGTTTAAATATGTTATCAACAAACAAACTGGAAACAAACATTAGACCGATTGTTATACATAGTTGTCTTCTCTTATAATTGAGCCTTACAATTAAGCTTGATGAAAAAAGGGCAAATTAATAAATGATAATTGAATAACTCAGATAATCTGGCATTAAGCGCCAATGAGACAAATATAGAGATGATAGAAATAATTATTAAATGCAAAAAAAGCAAACTAATAGGGTTCAAAGGGTTCAAACAAGAGTAAAAATGCATATAAGTTAATGTCGAGTATCCATTTCTTTCTGTGTGTTGCATCACCTCATGCTGTGTTTATGCTCGGATTTTGTCTCAGTTCAGGCAGTTTGTTCCCTTTCAGTCTAATAAAGGCTAATTATTAACCTGCACAGCTGCAGCACACAGCTGCCAGGATTACTGTAAAGTCTAAGGAACACTGTTAGTCTAGCGGGCTTAATTGAGGTCATAGTGACAAATGTGAGATCTACTTGTCTGACATGGGTTTACAAGAAAGTTTAACAATATGATACGCTGTCTGGGTAATTAAAAACAGTATTGCTGTTACTTTTTTGTAACTTAATTGTCTAACTTTGCGGTTTTTCCTTCATTTGTGTATTCTCACACTTTCTCACAAATACAAGAATTTCAGGTTAGAGTTTATCTTAATCTTGCAGATAAGCAGACTGTTAAAGGGTGTTAAACCTGATTATACAACAGGTTCTTGAAATGTTCAATTACACTTTAACCAAATTATAGACGGAAAATCTAAATGAGGTATGTTGAGACTAGGTTTTTTAGTCATAGTCAATAGTAAGTTATTACATAATAATGTGATACAGAATAGTTAGTGACTTTCAGTATAAAGGGACAGACTTAAGAACGTTGACTCCACAGTTGTTTCTAATGTCACTCACAACTTCTCTCTGTTCAGGGGGGTGTTTTCACTCGCTATCCAGAATCTGCACATCCGCTCTGTTGGGTTGCGTTCACTACGCAGCGTCAGCGGAGGTTTAGTTCTGTTGCACAACAACTCCCAGCTGTGCTACACCAGTTCCCTGCCTTGGAGCACGCTGCTGCACCCCACCCAGGGGCCGCACCGCATCGTCAGCCTGAACCAGGACGCCCAGCTCTGTGGTGGGGGAACACACTGATGCAGTGCTAAAGTCCATTAAAAATGTTGACTCGATCCAATTTAGTCTGTGTGACTTGTTCTGTGCAAGCACACCTGTACAGAGTAGAGTAAACAAATCCTCAAATAATATTTTGTTGTTTTTTTTAGTTAATATAAATGTAATTATTGTGTTAAATGGGCTAGTGTCTCCTGAATTGAATCACTATGACATTGTATTGTGGCAGACTCATATTATAAATAATTTTGTTGTCCAAGGGATCAACATGATACTGTATCATAACAGAACTTATTTATAACCCTAATTCAGGTCACTGTTGGTTGCACTTTGTCCACTTACTTTATCGTGTACGTCACTTAAACCAAGTTTATTATCTTTCATCAGATACAAGATTCAATTACATTTATTGTAACAATTGCAAGCAGCTGCAAAACAAACACGATTTTATCAATTGCATTTTAAGCACGTATGTCGTTGCAGTGAACTGAGGGGAGGGGCCATCAGAAAGTACGGTGTGCATCATGCTCTGTTTGCTCTTTGTGTGTCTTTAGAGGAAGAGGGGCGTGTGTGTCACCAGCTGTGCAAGGGGGGCTGCTGGGGCCCGGGGCCGAACCAGTGTGTGTCCTGCACGGATTTCAAACGCGGCACTGAGTGCGTGGATCAGTGTGACATCTACCAGGGGTAAGAGAGTTTGTGTGTGCGTGGGTGTGGCTGCACAAAATCAATAAAAGCCAAGTGATAATGTTCCTTTTAATACAGAGGACTGTGTGTCATAAAACACAAACAAGTTGTCCAGGAAAGAAAAGCAACTAATAATGTTTTCACTGAATTTATGATTTATGTGGGGTTAAGTGGAATGGCAGCCAGTGCCAAATAACAAAGTAGTCTCATTCAGATCAATTGGAAAGCTTTTAACTTAAGTTGTGCCCTTAAGCAACAATAGATCTATGACAAAGCAAATATGTTTGATAACACCGGGAGACTCATTTTCTTTGAACAATAACAGAGCAGATTCTTTGGCATGATGTACATTAGTAAATGTATTGCACATTTAGATAATACCTTTTAAGGTTATTTTGTAATCAGTTGGCCTTCAGTTGATGATGACGCGTACATGCTTAACTTGTTAAAATGCCCAAATAATAATGTTTTTTAAAATCACTTTAACGATGTTTGTGTAATTGTACCGATGTGATGAAACAGGAGTCTTGTTTTCACTTCAAACTAAATGTGTCTGTTGTTGTGGGTCTAATATTTGGGCTGATCAATATTGTTAACATCAATATCATATTATTTATATTTATTTTTATCATGATGTGGCAAATGTTGAAACCAACCGTTTGTTACATTAGTCCAAAAAACTAAGTGTAATGATGAGGCTTTGAGGGTTTATGTGCCAAACTATTTCTAACTAGTGTTGGCCGTAGCTTCATATTTACTGCACTGATGAAGAGAGAATGGCTCAATTAACTCCCAGCAAGAAAGCGAGTGTCAAACATTCCTTTAACAAAATATATCATATGATCCCAATACTATTCCACTCAAAGTTGTTTACAATAATAAACATTGCTGTCCAGCCCTCTGTGGTGCAGAGGACATGTTATCCTGTGTAGGTCATCTGGTCCGCTGGGCCCCCGTTTCTAAAAATGTCTGTCCTTATGATGGTGTCAGGTGCTTTAGATAAAAGATCCTAACAGATGCCAGGTCGTGTTATTGGACTTTACGTTAAATCCCTGTGTGCTTGTGTTGCAGGTCCATCCGCGAATACGCAGCTGAGTCTCTGTGTGTTGCTTGTCACTCAGAGTGTCGACCTCTCAATGGCTCCGCCTCCTGCCGTGGCTCGGTAAGATGATCATGCAGCCTATAGTCGTTATTTATCAAGATAAAATCTGCAAAAAGCACCATATACTCAACCATAATAATGACTGACGATAAAGTAAATCAAACTTGTTGTGCTTATAATAGTTGTTGATTCTGGAAAAGACCTTCACACTGTTCAGCTGCTCTTTAAATTGTATCCAGACGTTTTTAATCCTTGCAAGAACATTATGTCTTAGGAACATTTTAAAAACCTCCACGCAACAACAACAACACAACAACACCACACAGCTGGAAATTCCTGTTACTTTTTTGTGTGTCATCAAAAATCGTGCTGACATGACTTAACAATTAATCTGTAGTTTTACCATTTTTAATTTTAACATTTAATTGGACAAAACAAGCATTAAAAAAAAAAAATCCGTTACGCTCTGGGAACTTCAAATATGCATATTTATTGTTTTAAGCTTTTTGATTTTACTACTTTAATTTTGTAAAACAAAATATGTTTTACCTACATAATCGGGGTACCTCAAGGCTCCATCTTGGGGCCTCTTCTCTTTAACATCTACATGCTACCACTGGCTCAGATAATGAAAAACAACAAAAGAAGTTACCATAGCTATGCGGACGACACACAAATTTACGTAACCGTTTCACCAGGAGACTATGCTCCAATTCAAACACTGAGTAAGTGCATTGAACAAATCAATGACTGGATGTGTCAGAACTTTCTCCAATTAAACAAAGATAAAACTGAGGTAATGGTTTTTGGAGCCAAGGCAGAATGTATAAAAGTTAACGCTGAGCTTCAGTCTGCAATGTTCAAAGCAACAGATAAAGCCAGAAATCTAGGTGTAGTCATGGACTCTGACCTGAGTTTCAACAGTCACATTAAAACAGTTACTAAATCAGCTTACTATCACCTAAAGAACATATCTAGGATTAAAAGACTAATGTCACAGCAGGATTTGGAAAAACTTGTCCATGCTTTTATCTTCAGTAGACTGGACTACTGTAATGGTGTCTTCACAGGTCTCACTAAAAAATCTATTAGAAAGCTGCAGCTGATTCAGAACACTGCTGCTCGAGTCCTCACTAACACTAAGAAAGTGGATCACTCCTGTTCTGAAGTCTTTACACTGGCTTCCTGTGTGTCAAATAATTGATTTCAAAATACTGCTGCTGGTTTATAAAGCTTTGAATGGTTTAGGCCCAAAATACATTTCTGACCTCCTGCTAAATTATGAACCATCCAGATCTCTCAGGTCTTCAGGGACTGGTCAGCTTTCTGTCCCCAGAGTCAGAACTAAACATGGAGAAGCAGTGTTCAGTTATTATGCTCCAAATATCTGGAACAAGCTCCCAGAAACCTGCAGGTCCGCTGCAACTCTTTAAATCCAGGCTGAAGACTTTTCTTTTTGCCGCTGCTTTTAATTGAACTATTCATATCTTAAACTGCACTGTAACTTTTATCCATGTACTTTTTTCTTTTAATGTTTATTTTATTATCTTTGCTTTTTAATGACTGTTTTTAAATGCCATTTTCTTAATCTCTTTCATATTTGTAAAGCACTTTGAATTGCCTTGTGTTGAAAGGTGCTATATAAATAAACTTGACTTGCCTTACATAATCTTAAAATAAGCATTAGTTGCAGCTCTTTAAAATACTCTTCTGAATTGGTTCTGCTATCCGTGGAGATTGATTGAATATATACATAGAAGTATGATTTCCAGGCATTTCTTAATACATCACAAAGCAAAAACTTTTACAATACAATGAAAATTAAAAGTCGGTCAGAAATTATATAACCACTATTTCTAGGTTCAATTCCTGCTTGGCAGATTTGTTTCACCACACTTCCTAAAATAATCTAAATAAATTAACTTTATTAACCCTCTCTAGATGTGTGCAAAAGTAGAGACATGATGAAATGTGTCTTTCTTTGCGTCTTCAGGGTGCAGATCATTGTTCAGAGTGCAGAAACTTCCAGGACGGTGAGTTCTGTGTGGATCATTGTCCCAGGGGTGAGAAGGAGGATCAGCAAATTGTGTGGAAGTACAAAAACGCTTCAGGACACTGTCTGTCCTGCAACACCAACTGCACGCAGTCGTGAGTACACACACTTCACAAACACTCACACACTGCACACACTGCACACACAATGGGAATGATCTCACACCCAGTACTTCTGTGTTTCAGCTGCACGGTGATGGATGAGAGAGGCTGTCCCGTGGATAAAAGGCCAGGGTGAGCCCCTTCAACTGGTCAGATGTTTAAATGGTAGATTTTCTCCGTGGAGCTGTGTCTCACTGGTTTTCTCTGCACAGACCGGGGACAACCATCGCGGCTGCAGTGGGTGGAGTGGTGCTCTTCTTCATCCTGCTGGCCCTGCTGGTCTTCTACCTGAAGAGACAAAATACGCTCAGGAGGAAAGAGACAATGAGGAGGATCCTGCAAGAACACGAGGTGGGCACCGAGAAATTTGAAATTACAATTATTGATGCAACAATCAAAACCTTAAGTCCTGAAACCGATGGGGTCTGGGTAATGGCTGATATTGAGTACAGATCAGATAACAGATTTTAATTCATACGTTTTGTTTCGGAAAACATCAAACTTGACTTCAACATTGCTTTCCTATCTTTTAAAATAACGAAAATCAACAAGTAAATACATCAATATACATTTATTGGACTTCAGCAACTTGGTCAAATATCTACACAATTCACTGGGATTATAATACCTGGATTGTATTCCTTTCCTAATGCAGCAGCAAATTGGCTAAACTTATAAAAGAACAAATTAAAGTATATTATGTTTAATATAAACACTGAATGGAATGACATAGATCAGCCCAATTGTCACCGATACCTGATCCAGGTATCTGAGTCAGTATCGGTCTGCTACATCAATATGGGTGCATCAAAGTTGCAAACACAGAGGTTTTGCAGAGGTGTTAATACTTGTTTTGTGTTGTTGTAACATGTGGGAGTTTATTAGCGGAAAGTTAAATGGTTAACTTAAAAGAGACTCTTAGATTCCCTTTGGGTGATGTAGTGTGTAATGAGGAAATCTGCCATCTGCTTCCTTCATGTGTTCAGCTGGTGGAACCTTTAACACCCAGCGGCGCGTCGCCAAATCAGGCTCAGATGCGTATTCTGAAAGAGACAGAGTTGAAAAAGCTCAGGGTGCTCGGAGCAGGGGCCTTCGGTACCGTTTACAAGGTATGTGAGCCATCATAGATGCAGAATGATAGCATTTGGCTTGAGAAAACGTTAATGTGTTACATCTTCGCTGAGTTTTTCAAATTATTTTGTTTCTGTTTTTTTAGGGTGTGTGGGCACCTGAAGGGGAAAATGTGAAAATACCAGTGGCCATCAAGGTGTTACGGGAGAACACCTCGCCTAAGGCCAATAAGGAGATCCTTGACGTGAGTGCAAACCGGATACACACAGTTACACCAAACATAAACACAGTTCTCAGCCCCTCAACATCTGTCCTCTGTCTCCTTCAGGAGGCCTATGTGATGGCAGGAGTGGCGAGCCCCTACGTGTGTCGCCTGCTGGGGATCTGTCTGACCTCCACGGTGCAGCTGGTCACTCAGCTGATGCCGTACGGCTGCCTGCTCGACTACGTCAGGGAGAACAAGGACCGCATCGGATCCCAGTTCCTCCTCAACTGGTGTGTCCAGATCGCCAAGGTATGTAACAGGAAGTGCACACACATATTATGGCATAGAATTAAATGTGTGTAATGTGTTTTTCCTTAGGTAAACAGCACTGTGACTGTCTCATTTATTCCTTCATGGCCTTATTTTTTCTTTCAATTTTTGATGTGCTATCAGTTTGTATATTTGTGGAAACATGGATATGTGTGTGTGTGTGTGTGTGTGTAGGGGATGAGTTATCTGGAGGAAGTCCGGCTGGTCCACAGAGATTTGGCCGCCCGAAATGTTCTGGTCAAAAACCCGAACCACGTGAAGATCACCGATTTCGGTCTCGCTCGTCTGCTGGACATCGATGAGACTGAATATCACGCTGACGGAGGAAAGGTAAGACGGGGCTGAGAATGTAGGACCCTCTGCACCGGGTTGTTATCAATCATTTATTATCTTTAACTTCTGTTCTTAATTTGTTTCTGTAGGTGCCGATTAAATGGATGGCCCTGGAGTCTATTCTGCACAGGAAGTTCACTCACCAGAGTGACGTCTGGAGCTATGGTCAGTATCACGCGGTGCTTGAATTCACATTAAAGACATCATGGTCAAAATAACACACTAACGGCCCGTCCACACACAGGCATGAAAAAAATCTTTCAAAGCTTCGCCCATTCACTTGAATGGGGTGACGTAGAAGATTTTTAATCTTCGCCGAACTGCATTGTGGGGAGCGGAGCATGGCTTTGCAAGCATCGTGAGCATCAAAAGTTGAGCAATGTTCAACTTTTGATGCTCCCGATGCTTTCGAAGCTGGCATCAGCCAATCAAATCCCGTTTATGCAAATCCCGCCAGTACAAGCGCGAGCCAATCAAACCGCGTGCAAGCTGGGAGAGCCAGACTCTCTCAGAGGTTCATTTCCTCATATTCAAAACGAGAAATTACGGTAGCAAATCACCCGGTTCTTTACGACCAGAACTATTTACCGGGATACAAACCGGAGGAACCAGGCATGGAGGGAGGTGGCAGAGACAGTGGGTGAAACTGGTAGGTTTTCGCCTGTTTGGAGAGTTTATATCCAGTTTACTTCGTTTTAACATTGCTATTGCTTTGTATGTCGGGGGTGGGAGATTCATGTGATTGTTTGTTGGTCGCGTTGCTCGCAAAAAATCCCCAAGCTCCAGCATCAAGATTTTTCAAGATTTTTTTCATGCCTGTGTGTGGACGGGCCGTAACACTGAGCTGGCTGTTTCACTTAGTTCTCATGTAGCATAAGCTGTAAAGTGAAATGTTTTTGTTTTTTTATGTTTAACAGCAGCCTCATTTTTGGAGTGATAGCGTGTGCAGTACTGATTGCAAAACTTAAGAACGGCAGTAGTATATTTATAATAATAGTTTTAAAAACCAAATAGTAGCATACGCAATTATTGAGTTTCCAGACTGCTGTTAGTTCATATTTTATAAATGAATGTCACCTGATGTTTGCTGATCAATCACCTCCTAATAAGTGGTTCCTTATTTGGTGTTAAAACTGACACAGATGTACGTATGGCTTAGTTGCATCTGTTGTTAAGTAGTAAAAGTAATCGTACATTTCCTCTTTAGGCGTGACGGTGTGGGAGCTGATGACGTTTGGAGCTAAACCGTACGACATGATCCCAGCCAGAGAAATCCCTGAAGTGTTGGAGGGAGGAGAACGGCTCCCCCAGCCTCTCATCTGCACCATCGACGTCTACATGATCATGGTCAAATGTTAGTAGTTAAACATCTATTGATAATGGTTCATATTCAACAGTTGATACTTTGGCAACACAAATAACTATAACTTTAACACAAAATAAATATAACAATGTGAGCCGCCCCTCAGTATCTGTGGGCATATTGTTTGTTAGTGGTGAAGATGATGGATTGACACCTGTGTTTTCCTGTGTGGACGGCAGGTTGGATGATTGACCCGGACAGCAGACCGAGGTTCACAGATCTGGTGAATGATTTCTCTGCCATGGCCAGAGATCCTTCTCGCTATGTAGTCATCCCGGTATGTGAATGTGTGCTTAATGCTACAAATGTTTTACTTTTGTGACAAGAAGTTATTGTGTGATGTGAATGTTGCATTGTAGCACGGTATTTGTCTAATGCCTTCGGATGGTTTTTTCCTTGAATGAGATAAAGTATATTTTGGTCCATAGAGATAAATAAAAGACTAAGCCGCTATATGCATGAGACTAGTATTACCTTGGGACCTCTAATAGTTGTAATAAATGTCTGTAATGTTAATCCTGCACACATCTGGCATATCCGTTATCTGTCAAGTAATAATTCCACCGCAGATTACCTACCATATTTTACCACATCCACAGGTCATAATAGTCCAGTAAGAATCCTCATCTCTGTGATTTTGAATCATATTTTTTCATTTTGAAGGACCTTTTTGTTTTCTTTGGGCATTTTATTAAAGTTGGGTAAAGGTAGGATCCTTTGCTTCACGGCATGGGAACCCATTCACATTATTATATACACATAAAAAGGCCTATTTCATATTTTTACTGTTGTATATTTAATATGTAATACTTTTTAAATAAGACACTGTTAGGCCCACTGGTAACACAACTCCCTTCTTACTTCATCCATGTCTTTCTGTCCTGCAGAATGAAGAGCACATGAGCATGAACAGCCCTGTGGACAGCCAGTTCTTCCGGATGCTCATGGAGGAGGAAGGGAACAACATGAGGGATCTGCTGGATGCTGAGGAGTATCTGGTGCCTCAGCCCAACCACTTCCCCAGGATGCTGGGGGACGGGGCCCAAACCAACGGGCCGTCCAGACACCAGTCGTACAGGGTCAGTGACGGGGGACGATGTTTGAATATACACATCCATGGAGACTTAGGAAACTTGAGTTCACCTTGTGTGTGTGTTTCCTCTCTCCTCTCCCCAGCAGAGCAGAGATACGGGTTTAGACGTGGAGCCCTCCATTACCGGCGGCCCCCGCAGCATGTACTCCTCTGTGAGCACTCTGGGCCGCAGCCAGTACCCCACCTTACCTCTCGGAGCCAGCGCCTCCAACGGGGTCTGGGTCCCTCAGTACCCGACGCTGGCTCGCAGCCCCTCAGCCGGGGGCCAATCTGACAATGTGTTCCTGGACGGACCCCTAGATGACCCCTCGCTGCCCCCGGCAAGCCCCGGGCGCTACTGCAAAGACCCCACCTACTCCAACGGGAGCCAGGGCGACCTGGAGACTGACGGGCCCAATGGCTTCCATCACCCCCAACCCTATCATTACTCACTGCCCCGACGGAACCATGGATATAATCATAATCAAGCCCCGCCAGGTAAGCGGGAGAAACATAATGTAATGTGTGATGATGTGTTTTATAAATAAATCCCAACGTGTTTTGACTTTTCTTGCTTCCTGCATCTGTTTAGAGTACGTCAACCATCAGATTCAGGATCTCAGACCGGGTATTCCCGACCGGCCGAGCACGTTGCCCCGTAAAGGCTCCAGAGTGGACCGGCGCCTCCCCAACGGCCTGAACTCCGGGCACAGCGTGGAAAACCCGGGGTATTTGGTCCCCGGGGGCCCCACGTCTCCAGCCTTCGACAACCCGTACTACCTGGACCTCGTGGCCAAAGCTAACGCTGTCGCTTCTGCAGGGGACGACCTGGAGTCACAGGAGAGAGACGGAGGAGGGCCCAGGCAGCTCAACGGGTTTATGGCCTCAACGGCAGAGAATCCAGAGTATCTGGGACTAGCGGACACGTGGAGTGGACATACCTGAGGAGAGGGAGAAATGTGACGAACTCCAGGGGAATCACAGCTTGTGTTCTACTGAGGGGAAACGAGGAGCGAGAGAAAGGGAAGATGTGTGTGACACAAATGAGCTGGGTGTTTTATATTTGGAACATTAGGTGCCTGTGTGACTGAATCATGCACCTGAATCATAACCGGTCGATGTCGTCCGGTGAGAGTCACCAAATGCCCTAGCTGTGACATTAATCTAGCGTCTGTGGCATCATTCGTATTCCTGTCTTCCTCTCAGCAATCTGTCCTCTCCATGTGAATGTAAAGTGCCAAAAAAAAGAAGTTCCCTCCACCTCTGTGTATAACGCAGGACTCGATAAGCAAAGGAGTTCACATTTGTCAAAACACAACAAGGTACAAGACTCTGATTGTCACAGAATCAAACATTTGACCCTTTGTTTTGTTTTGTCTTTAATGTCTGTGGTTGTTTCTACTACATATGAAGCATTTTTCTGTGTTTCCTTCAGCTCCCTGGTGCTATAGGTCATGACTCAGCCCAGCTAAAAAGAGAGAATAGTACACATTGACAAAGTCAGTTGTATTGAAAGTGGTGTTTAGTATTCTGGTCACTTTGTCTCCGACCTGATGGGGGTCTTCAACACACTCAAAGCCATTTTGTTTTGGCCAGAGAGTGGCCAGCAGCCCATCTGGCCAGTAAGCATGCTCCCTGAAAGAAAGGCATCCTGTATGGAGAAGACAGAGGCATTGTGCAACACTGGTGTGTGTTTGTGTGTGTGTGTGTGTGTGTGTGTGTGTGTGTGTGTGTGTGTGTGTGTGTGTGTGTGTGTGTGTGTGTGTGTGTGGCTGCAGCTACTTTGTGGTACGACCCATGAGATACGAGGTCTGGGAAACTCTCCGAAATGATGTTTTTCGTTTGAACAACAAAGTGTACTTATGACTAAATTAGAGCCAGCGAATCAGGGATTATTTTTTAACTAATTAGGGAATATTTTGTGCATTTTGAATCCTGCACTACGGGGAAGGATGCTGCGTGTGTCCCCCAGGCTTGTGTTATCACAATGAGCCTTTTGATGTTGGTGGCCTTTTACTGTGCAAAAGAAACGCACTACAAGCTATTGATGATTAAATTCAACAAGAAGAGAAGAATGTGCATGTATGTATGTAAACATTGGGTTTGCTCCCAGTTATGGAACAAAAAGCAATCCTGCCTTTTTGTGTTGTTTGTGTAAAAGTAAGCAATGCACTCTGCACTGGAGCTGATTCTGAGGAGGCAGAAGCATTGCTGTGCTGGGTCTGGATAATCAATGCATGGCTAGAATTCCACTCTGAGAGAGGACACTAAGCGCCCAGTTAATAATCAACAGCATTTTTTTTATGTTAGCTGGTGTAGGGGCTGGGGGTGGTCAACCCCGCGTCAATGGAGCCATTGTCTCACCCTCATGTCCATGTTGGAAACTCAGTGCTCTCGGACTCGTGCGTCCCGACCACTTTTGTTGTCACAGCGTGCAAAGAAAGTAAGAGTTTATTTTCTGCAGAGGTTTTGACCTGGTTCAGTGTTTGGGGGCTTTGAAATCCTGAAACAAGTCTTGAAAAATGGACTGGGTTGTTGAAATGCGTACGACCCTCCATCAACACATCGGTTTCTACTCTTCTAGTCTTTTATCTTGATGTTCTCATACGGGTGTTGAAGAGTTTTGTTCCAGACAAAGGATAAAGTGATTTTATATAAAAATGTCTTTAAAAATATAACATGTTTTTCTAAAAACGTGATAAGACTTTATTTGAATGATCAACTATCATATACTTACACCATTTAGATTGAATTTGAATATGTTTGAGTGATAGGAATCGTATAACAGTTTATATAAATATATATACATAGTGTTTTGGAATGAAACCCTTCACATTTACTATTGCTGTCCGGTGAAGACCTCCTATCTCCAAATGAAAAAAGACTTCAGATTGATTAAAACGTTTTTCTCTGAGGTTACAACCCTTAAAATAAATTAAAGGTGCACCCCAGGTCTTCTTATACTACACAGTAACACCAGTGAATCCTTAATATAAACAATTGAAATTCTCAACTGAACTGTGTGAAGAGATTTGGGCGACAGGGGGTGCTATCGTTCATTTAAAAAAAAAAAAAAGAAGGCGTCCCGGCTTCCTTAAGAATGTGATATATTTTTTCACGGATATTAATAGACCTTCTATACAATCACTATTGATGTACTGGTGTTTACACTGTAGTGTCTTCATGTATAAAATGTTCCTTTTTAGATGATGTGGCCTAACATGACCAATGGATCTCAGAGCTGAGGATCTACCTGCTGTTCTCCTTAAAACCACGTGTCCTTTTTTTCTGTTTGTTTTGATTAAAAACTGTTCATTTGTACTAAAAGCAGGCAGATCTGGAGAGCTGACTCTTGTCATGTTTCTGGTGACTTAGTTTATGGTAACGTTAAATCTTCTCGGGCAAAATGTGGAAAGAGTAAAAGGTTGTTTGTCGCTTTTTTAATTGTGAAGCTTAACCTGAATGAGAATGAGGCCTGTAACTGTTTTGTAAGTTTGTTAAACATCGACAAAAGTCTGTTAAAAAGTCTCAAATGTGACCGAAGTAAGAACCTGCATGTTTTTATCCAGAGATAAGCCCAAAAGGAAAGAAGGAACTAATGAGAGTGTGCTGAAGGTTTTATAAAATTAAATACCTGTAATATACATTTTGAAGAAAATGTATCTTTTATACTTTTCATGTGAATATTTTTTTAACCTTTCACAGTGTGTGTGATTGTGACAGGACATGAATAATAATAACAACCATGTTTTTGGGAGATGTTTTAATTTTTTTAATGTTTCCTTTCTTATTTGGTCAGTGAGTCGCATGATGTAAATGTGTAGTGTAAATAAATAAAAACAATCACTTTGGTAGCTAATTTGATTGAATACATTGTGACCAGTGGCTCTACTGTGGAGGGAGGCGGAGTTATATACATAAGAAAATTATTTATGAAGAAATGGTCATTTTATTTGTAATTGTTTGCATACATTGTGTGTCTCATTAAACTCATACCGACAACTTACAACTGCAATGTTTTCCAAACCTCAACAGACCGTGAACAACTGCATTTTTCTGTATTCAGTTTTATTTTACTTTATAACACCAGGTCTCTTGTGTAGACTGGATTTCACTGCACTGATGGGAAATAGGCCCATTACAGTACAGACAGGATTTCTTTGACAAAAATAAACACCATTATGTAAGACTGTCATTTAAAACAAAAGATTCTACCTTTACCTTGACACACAATACTGATTAAATGTATTAAGTGTGTGGGTCTAACAAGTCTAACAAGTTTTACACATTAGTTGCACAAATGAAAAACCCTGAATGTTTTCGTTAAAAAAAGGAGGTGTTCTGCCACCCAGTGCTGGTCAAGGGAACTTCAGCGGTTCTGTCCGTCTACTTTCAGATATTTGTATTGAGCCAAAGAAGATTTTCTTTCTACAAAAACTATTTTCCGGTTTCCTCTGAAAATTGTATCTTTCACTTTTATGTGAAAGAATTATATAAATGTACATTCCCCCGATCAAAGACCTATGCAAACTCAAAGGAGAAAGACAAATATTTTTAAATTGACAAATGATGTAAAGGAAACTTTAAAGATTATCTTGGAAACACTTTTAGTCCTAAACCAAGAAGAAAACGTGTCACTTTTCATTACCTTTTTGATTTTGGATTGATGTCCATTTCTAAGGTTTTGAAATTATAGAAAAATTATACACAGAAGTGGCCTGTTCTCCACTATGGAGGAATTAGTGGAGAAAAACAATGGCCTTCAGCGGCTTTATTGTACATTCAACTACTGATATATAATCACAATATCAACATTCATTTAAATACACAGACACCCAAGCATTAAAGCAGCATCTGATGAACATAGATGTATTTATGTTTTACACAGTATAGTTTCCACTCTTATTTTTGTATGTAAGGCAAAATAAATCATTAGAGCACACATCTCACACACAAAAGGACATAATGAAAAACAACAACATTAAATTAAAAATATTAAATAGAGGGTAAGAAATGTATTTGTACTTTGCTTTGGTATTTACATTTCATGCTATATATATTACACTATATTTTGAATGCAGATATTGCACTTCTTTCTCCACTTCATTTATCTGACAACTTTAGCAACTAGTTACTGATTAAAATGATTATGAAATACAAAAATATTAATGATCAAATTAATAAACTATGACAAAAATATAGGTTAAGAATATATCCAGCAGCAGCATGTAAAGTAAATAAACTTAGCTTTAATTTTACCTGTGATGAACACATTAATGTGTCAATAATTATAATCAGGTAATCTAATATACGATTATAGCATTGCTACCCTTACTTCAGTAAGATATGTGAGTACTCCTTTCACCACCTGGGTACCCAAGTTGTGGTAATTTGAACTTTCTATAATATCTGAAAGTTAAAATGCTCTTCAGCTCAGACAGAGAGGCAGGAAGCAAAGGACGCATGAGTTAGGACTTCTTGCAGCACCCCACCCTCAAATAATCGAATTTCCCAAATGTGCTAATGTGTAATATAGGCATGACAGCAGATCCACAACTGGAAGTAATAGAAATCGGAAAGCCAATAGCGCATATGAAGGTACCAAGACTCATCAGTGGCCTCCCGATTGCAAACAAAAGGATGGGAGGAATAAAAAAAAAGCCGATCATCACCAGGCTGTTGACGAGGGTCCTGATGGCTCTTTTCTTCTGCGGGTGGATGCTTCTTCTTCCATGGTCCAACTTAATTAATGTATGGAAGATGAAAGTATCACAGATACCAATTAGTGCCATAGATATTACAAATGGAATGGTGGAAAAAATGCTAAAGTATGACCTGTAAAATAGAAAGTATACAATCCCATAAACAACCGTAAAAATCCAAACGATGCCAGCCATCACAACCCTGGGAGTGAGACCCTTCCTCTTGTGGTAGGTGATGGGATGAACCACGGCCAGGTAACAGTCCAGACAGACACAAGCCATCAGCAGGGGTCTCCCACAAGTGGAAAACGCATAGGTAGAGTTCCAAGTTGCTTCAAGCGGCCAATTTTTCCAGATGAAATGATTCAAAAAGCCCAGAGGGATGAAGGCCAAGAAGACAATATCCATGATGCACAGGTTCAGTATGAAGAAATCATTTGGTGTGAAAGGGGTCCCTCTCTTGTAAGTCTTGAAGATCTCCCAGAGGATGGCAATACATGCAGGAAAACCAAAAACAAAGGACAATAATGTAAAAACAGCCCAAACATGTCTGCCCACTGCAAGGCTTTCACAAACTTCAAAATCAAATTGTTCCCAGACAAATCCAGATGTGTCAGAGTTGTTGGAAAGACGCTTGGAAAAAGGATCAATCTGATACAACATCATTGAGCCGAGTTGTTGTGAGGATAGAAGACCTGAAAGAAATGAAAAAATGAATTTAAAAACATGAACAACATGCTGTGAGCAACACAAATTACAAATAGTAAAAGAAGAGACACAAATGCTGGAAACGTACACACAGAAAACATGCCTTTGTTTGGTTTGTCAGCTTAAGATTGACTGCACAATGGTTCATAAGAAAAGGACTCATACTGTACCTTTTTCAGAGCTTGTGTAGGGATGTTTTCACTGAGGTGCTGCTGTGTCTTGTTGCCTGGACGAATTATCAAACACCTGTGAGAGACACTGCAAGTGTGAATGTATCATCCGTCAAACTTATGACCTGGTGTCAGTGGCACTATGGAAAAAGAGCATTATGGAAAAGAGCAGAACCGCAGAGGACCATGTTGAGAGAAATATACAAAACGACCTTTTGCTTGTTTACACTGCACTGTCAGTAGATGTATTCTGACCTGACAGCAAGACAAAGCGAACATGATTCATGCTGGTGAGAGCATTAATATGTACTTCATTTTGTGGCAGTCCGTACTGTAGGATTCCTCCTCTGGACATTTGGTTCTTGGTGATCCTTCCAGATGTTGTTAGAATGTTTCACTTAATTGTCTACTTTCTGGTGGCTCTTGAGACAGAGAATCATCAAAGTCAGAAACATATATCCTCTGGGGATATAGGAATTTCATAGTGACCCATCTAATAACATGCCTAAAAATAACCACTACAAAACTTTAAATGATAATCACATCTATTATAGGTGCCACTAATAATAACTCAAAAAGACTTTTTACAAGTTAACAATACATCTGATCTTGAACAAGACTTGTGAAGAAGTGGACATAATAACTGTGATGACAGAAATAGATATGGGGACTATGTTTTTTAAAAGTCTCAATCCAGGCATTCAGGCAGTTACTATTGTTTTTTCTTTTCAAACAGCAGTTACACAAGATGGTACATTTGTGGGATGAAAACATTGTGAGCTCCCAGAATGGACAACACCGATGTCAATCACACAGCCTAAAGCATGCCCTGCTTTATCGTTATTTCACTCTAAATGAGACCATAGTTTCCAAATCATGACATATTGAAATAGACTTAGAACTATAGTCAGTGGAAAATGTTTACTGAGGTAATAAATAAACTGAGAAGTAGGGTTTTTTCTCATAGACTTCTATAGAACTATGTCTATTTGCAACCAGAGAAGTCAACATTGGCTGGCTATTAGGACAAATGCAAGTTTAAAGCACTTGCTCATTGCTTAATCTTGACACCTGAACTGAATAAATATCAAATGCTGTAATTATTTTATGTCAAACAATATGGTGAAATCTTTGTCCATCAAAGCAAAATCAAGGAAAAAATCCCACTAAAAACATGTCGTAATGAGATTCTAGCATGACATTTTCTATTATCTAAATATGCAAATGATAAAATAATTATTGAGTCAGGACTATGGCTTATTTGAGAATTAAGTTGGGTTTATCTCAACTTTCTATCATAACCGAGCTAACTAAAAATGACTTCTGAAGGTAAAATGTTTTTAAGCTTCTACAGCTACTACTTTTGTAAAGAGAGGCAGAAAGCAAAGGACGCATCATTTAAGACTTCATGCAGCATCCAAGCCTCACACTATCCAATTTCCCACAATTTTTTAGGTGGATTATAGGCATGACAGCGGATCCCAAACTGGAAGTAATAGAAATCAGATAACCAATAATGCATACAAATTTAGTATAACTCATCAGATTAAACCCAATTCCTAAAAGAAGCACTGGAGGAAGGTAAGACAGGCTCATCATCACCAGGCTGTTGACGAGGGTCCTGATGGCTCTTTGCTTCTGGGGGTGGATGTTTTTTCTGCCAGGGTCTGACTTAATTAATGTATTGAAGATGAAAATATCACAGATAATTATTAGTACCATAGCCATAATGGATGGAGCACAAGAAATCAAGCTAACATGTAACTTGTCGTATATAATGTATAAAACAGCATAAACAACCGTAAAAATCCAAACAATGCTAGCCATCACAACCCTGGGAGTGAGACCCTTCCTCTTGTGGTAGCTGATGGGATGAACCACGGCCAGGTAACAGTCCAGACAGATACAAGCCATCAGCAGGGGTCTCCCACAGCTGGACAAGGCAAAGGTGCTGTTCCAGAACAATTCGGCCTGCTGACTCATCCAGATGAAGTGATTCAAAGTTCCGGGAGGGATCAAGGCCAAGAAGATAACATCCATGATGGACAGGTTCAGTATGAAGAAATCATTTGGTGTGAAAGGGGTCCCTCTCCTGTACGTTTTGAAGATCTCCCAGAGAATGGAAATAGATGCAGGAAAACCAAGAACAAAGGACAATATTGTAAAAAATAACCAAATATATTTGCCCTCTTCATGCTCTTTACACTCTTTAAAATATAAGTCTGCCAACCCATGTGTGTCAGAGTTGTTGGAATGATGCTCGAAGGAAAGATCGATCTTAAACAACATCATGGGAAAAGTTGTAGATTAAAGACCTGCAAGAAAATTATACTTCTGTTGAGCATTGATATGAAGTCCACACACACTCACAAAATACTGCAAGCTAAGCTTCCATAGTAAACATAATGTAGCTTCTAT